CGATTATTTACACATATAGGGAAGTTCATGTAATTTGCCTCAAAGCAAAATACCAATACCAACTAGTTAAATATTTTTTTCTGGATCTTCGAAGTCGCTGGACATGCCTTCCTAAAAATGTAATTAAATCTTTATTCCGCCAATACACGTAAAACACTCCGTTCTCTCAAAAACTGGATAGCCATTTTTAGCACGTTTTGCCCTGTATCTTCGAAATGTCTAAACTTGCCTCTGCAAAAAACTAATAATCAGCACGTCGAGTACGTCTCTCTATCAATAAGAATAAAATGTTTTTTAGTTTTCATGCGATTACGATAATTTACCTTACAAGAAATTAATAATGCAAATATCAATGAAAGGGTTGAAAACAGCTTAAACAATATTTAGTAATCTACAAAATAATATGTATATTGTATTATTTAATTTATTTTCTTTCACAAATTGTGTTCATTTTAATTTAAACTATTCAAACAATTAATTGATTGATTTTGTTAATAATTTGTTTGTAAAACATTTTTTAAATAATCATTTTTCATAGACAAAATTATTTTCACTTTTGTCACTAATATAAGAAAACATAAATATGTATTCACAGATTTAATTATCGTTTTTATTATTAATACTATTATTTTAATTATTTATTCATTCATTTATTCTATTTCTTTTCTTTAAATTCTTTTATTCTATTTCTTTTTTCTTCTTGATTTTGATTTTCAATACCATAACTTTTAACTTATAGATTGTATTGTAATCTGATTATTAAAATTAGCAGAAATAAAAAAAATAGATTTAATGAAATGTCATTAATTTTTAGTTATAAAATAATGAATATTATAGATGAATTAGTCGATTAATCGATTTATATCAGTTTGATTAACATCATTTATATAAAAAGTTGTACATATTAATATAATATTGTATTATAATGTAGAAATTTTTATTGAACTGATTGAAACCCAGTAATTATATTTAAGTAAAAGATGTTGTGTATTTTATAAAATTTATTTTTATGATTATATTCGTAAAATAATAATAAATCGCGCGCCACTGTAACGCCGAATGGAGTATTTTAAAGATTATTCATTTATGCTAGATTTAAAAAAAATCGTTACGTATGGAAAGTAGATATTGGTTCATTGGAAAATATATATTTTTACTTTATTGTCGGGTTTGGTTTAGTTTTATAATTTGAAAAAATCGACTATTTAACATACACAGAAGAAAAATATCATATAAATCATATAAATGTATATACAAGAAAATACATTAAATACTATTACTTAAAAGTAGTATTGAACCGAAATAAGCCAAATGTTAATAATTATTCGATATCAATCTTCATATAATGTTTTTCATATTTATGTGTTCAACAGTATAAAGTAATCAGACCTACTCGTTCTGTAAGCTACTGTTTGTTTGATAACCGAATGCACTATTTGATGCGAAGGCAACCCATCGGTTAATCATTATCCTATGTGTGTGGCAAATTGCCACTGGCAATTGCAATATATATATATATATATATATATATATATATATAATGTGTGTATGTATTAGCAATGCGCCTGAAAGGCTATTTGCGCTTGAGATCATATTTGAGATTTATAATATTTTTCCTTTTGAGCAGCATCTCTATTTTTTGGTACCATGCAAAAAACAATTATATAGATAAAATACTAAAAGTGATTATTTTGAATGTTTTTAATATATCTAGTTTATAATGCAAGCATATTTTAATGCTTGGTTATTCACCTCAATGTGTATCGTAAGTAAAATATGTATGACCTCGTAAGTTAGTGTCAATTAAAACATTTGTTCGTTTTTTAATTTTTATTTGTCGGTGAAATATGTCCCCAACATATTTTACAAATAAATTACAGAACTATCATTACATTCAATGTTCACATTCATCATTGAACAGGTGAAAAATACAAATTATCATTGAACAAGTAAGGATAACTAAAGTGATTCGGCTACTGTGACAAAACTTTCCTTTGTGTATCCGATGAAAATGATATAACTTGAAATAATTTCATAAATAAATAGTTGAATTGTTCAATCTTTAGTTAATTGTTAAATATTATCAAATTTAATATTAATAAACTTATTTTTTATGAATAATGTCGACTTAAGTCTTTTCATGTTCGAAGTATAAGAAACGGCGTAAAATTGTAAATGTGAATCATGCATCTACCTACTTTATAATCATTAATCCTTAATACAACAATTTATTTCCATAAATTATATACAAGAAGAAAATACAATTAAATAAATTAAATAATATTTACAATGAATAAATACGCTAAATAATAAATGAAAAATGTCAATATGAAATGAAATTAATTAGTTGAAACGCATAACACAGTTTAACCTAAGTATGAAATAAGACAACTACATATTTCAAGCACAACCGTTTTTAATTCATGTCATAAAATTAAACTAGTCAATATTTTAAGTTGTGTGATTGTTTATAGTATTTTTACATAAAAATATATGTTTAAAAATGCTATAACATAACTAAATCACTCAAAAGCAATAATTAACTAAATAAGCTCGTTACGTTGTTTTTTTCAAGTACAATAAATAATGCAAAATTTGTTTCGAAATTTTAAGCAAAAATTTGAAATAAAAGTCAAGCTTTAAATGCACTACAGTAAAGTAAACCAAAAAAATATACAATTTTTAGATATTAAGAAAAAGCAAAAGTCAGTCAAGAGTCGTACTATCACTTGAAAACATATAGAAAAATATGTAATTAAATGTCTTCAAATTATGCATCATAATTTTAGTTGATATATATATATATATATATATATATATATATATATATATAAACAATACAAGACAAAATAATTTTACATAATTGGTTTAAATTTAAAAAAAATCAGGTTTATTTATGAAATAATGATGTTGGCAACCATATCCTAATTTAATTTTACGTCTGATGATTGAATTAAGAGGTTTAATATACTCGAAAGTTTATCTTTTATTTTGGAATAAATATATATTCAAAAATATATTATCGTAAATCAGTAGTTTACTATAAAAATTATTCCGTGCTGCTAAACACCTTTATCTAAAAAATAATTAATAATAAAAATACAAATAATAAAATCAAAATTATTGAAATTTTCTGAGATTTAAATTATTATGAACACATATTTTGTGAATAGATAAATGTATCGCATGGAACAAATCTTGGAAAATATTTTTGATTTTCCATCAAACTTGTTAAAAAATTTATAACCGATGTTCCCTCTGACAATGAGACGTGTAGACCCGTGCAAGCGCTGAATTTTATCGTAAGTTTGCGCACGACTAACAATAAGTAGGCAGAGAATGAGCCGGTAAACGCGTTCGTATCAACATTCATCGCAATAAAATCAGCATGGAAAATTGAAAGATTCGTCATTACGATATTGTAAAATGTAAACGCTGTTCTTTTGAAACTTAGAGGAAAAAAATATTTTCAAATTTTAACACAAAATCAAGACTAGGTACCTCGCAATTCCCGCAAGTTGAAATCTAATCTCACCGGCATATATGAATATAACAATGTGAAATGTGAACATACATGATTTGAAAAATGAACGCGTCATTTCCCCATTCTCTTGTTTTCTATTGTGGATTTTTTCAGCTTTTATCATGCGCTTTGACTTTTTCCTCTTTTTCAATCATCTTCTTGTATTTTCCAACCAGTTCAGGCAAATCGTAGGCAATGGCCACATCTAACTTGTTGATGGGACAACCACGGAAATACGTACAAGTGGCCGACAACTGCTGAAAGTCGTAGAGAGGGTTCAGCCGGAAGAAGTCACGGTAGACATCAGGATCGGGAAGATCATAACGTGAGATATTAGTCAGCGTGCTCAATCCCTCGTAAATGTGGTAATCTTGTGGGTGCTCGATGATGGCATTTGATATCAACTTCTTATTGCTGAACAATGTCTTATGGTTATAATAAGTCGTCAAGTAACAGTCAACCATCTTGGCGTGATTGCGTACGCGAACCTAAAATGTGATTAATATTACTTTACATACTTTTGAAGATTAAGAATATTTTATGATTGAACAAAATTATGAAAAGTTATTTATAAATCACTTAATAAGGTAGGGTAGGGCGGGGCTAGTTGAGCATAGGGGCAAGTTGAGCAATCGAAATATCTCGAAAACTATTCACCATCCGTTTAGGCATTATATGGCGGAAAGACAGAGGTTTGGGAGAAATAGACATCCCGCGATCGCTAGTAGCCGCTGGACAAATGAGTTAGCCTCACAGGCGTTTTGTTTATTTTGAGACCAAAAAGTAAAAAAGTCATTCATCACGAATTTCCGTCTGGTTTAGTCAAATGTTATTTATTTTTAACCAGGTAAATCTTATTCTTCCATATAATTATAGTACTTTTAATATGCACAGAGATTCTGGGTATAATTCTCACGGTTTTTTCAAAAACTCACTATTATTTTGAAATTCCGAGTTGGGGTTAGTTGAGCATAGTTGCTAAACTTGTTCTGTCACTAAGACAATTACCATTAACTTTCAGAAATTAATTATTATTTTTAAGATTTAAGCTAAGTCTATGAGTAATGATATAAAGAAATAATGATTTTAAACCAAAATACTGAATATAATAGTAAAATAATTCCTAAGTTAATTAATCGTTAATTATTCAAAGCAAATTACTATAAGTTTTGTTTTCTCTGTCAATAAAGACTATAAATATAGAACTGGTTATTAAAAACTTATTTTATTTCATCACTAATCGACATTGAACAATAATTTTATTATACTTTTTTAGTGCTCAACTTGCCCCATCTATGGGGTACATTGAGCATACTTGACTTTTTGCATTTAAACAGCTGTAGCTTTTAAAGTTTACTTATTACCAAAAACTAGTATTAACACTTTTGTTAAGCGATGAACAACAAATCCATTAAGCCGTATAGCAATTTATTGAGACTTTTCATTGAGGAGCTACATCCATTTAAGTAAAAATTTGCTCAACTAGCCTCGCCCTACCCTATGTCATGTGAAGCTACAAGAAACTAAAATATTTTATTTGATACCGCAAATCGTCTAGCGCTGGCAATTTTATTATCGATTCTCTTATCGATGGCTCCTCTTAAGTCTTTTAGCAGCTCTCTCTCCTGGGCCTGCAGAAGTCTGACTGGCGCACCAGACTCATATGGTATAGACCAGAGTGAAGCAGTGTACATGACCGGCGGCTGGGCTGACGACATCAGCGGGGAGATATTCCAGATAAGGGCGCCCTGAACGCGCATCAACTCCTCCGGCTTAACTTGGTCAGCTTTATTCAAGATGATGCGAGTCTGAAATAGTAATTTTTCTCATTTACTTTGTAATGGTTGAATTTAAACATTTTCAGCTATTCTATTCTATTATAATTTTTTGGACAGTATGCTCGAAAGCGAAAAAAAAAACAGTTTCATAAATAAATGTTAAAGTAGCCAAACGATTTGTGAAAATAATAATTTTATCATTTATATATTTATTTTTATAAATATTATAAAATATATTTATTATTCATTTAATTTGTATTCAATAAATTATATCTTAACATATTTCAAACAGCAATATGTACGACTATACACTAAATTAACAAATATATTAGACAATTGCTTTAATAATAATAATAACAAATATAAGAATGATAATTGCATACCACTTATAATATAAATGCAGCAGAGATGCATTTGTATTTTTGAAAACCATTTTCTATGTTTATAAAACTTAAATTTGACAAACTATCTATTAATTGAGTCTCGTTGATAAGATCAACATGAATGTTTCTTATCTCGTGTGTCAAAATCTAGAAATTATATTAAAAATATGTATGCTATCTTACATGACACGTGCCTTTTATATTTACAAAATTACACAATTATATGCGCGTATGATTAATAACAAAAATATTTAGTAATGTTTATATTTATTACTGTGATAACCAATATATAGGTAATATGATATAGTGTTGAAATTGTTAGTTAAAACAAACAATAAGATTTATATTATTATAATAAAATTCGTCGGACTTAAATGGAATATACTAGAAATGTGAACTTAAATCTTAGTATACTAAAAATGTCAATGTGTAAATCAGAGAACAAAATTAATCTAATATTAGTTAAAATTTGATTAATTGGTTTAACAATTACCACGAATCAATATTATAGTATAATTTAAATCAAATGTGATAACTCAATAGTATCACGAGTCACTAATATATATTAGGTACGCTCTAAAATGATTGAAACGGAGCAGATGTGCCATTGAAAAATTTGAAATGGCCCTTTCCGAACTTGACACAACTTATTGCCCAATTCAAAATTATTAAAAAAATGTTTGGGGTCATTAATCAGGCTGTGATTTAGAATAAGTATTTGTAGAATTCTTCTGCATTGCTTCCATGTCATAAAAAGAGAGGAAGCCTTATCAGGCAAATGCGAGTAATCAGCGAGTTTGATTATTAAAATGCCAAAAATAATGAAATAATCCATGATAAGATTTGACCGATGAACTGAGGCATTGTCCTGAGCAAAAAAACCAACATACTTTTCCGCAAAATTTAAATCAAATACGACGAATGAATCAAAAACACTACATGCAGAAGTAGAACACTGGTTTGACATTTTGGTCCGGCGACACAAACATCTTTCTTGAAATATTAAAATCTAACTAGTGATGCATGACATCGTGCCTTAAGGCAAGTTGCTGAGACTTTCCGTACTAAAATTTCAAATTAAAACAATTCTTCATTATATGAAAACAAATGATTTTTAAATCATTTAAATCGAACAATCCGTTCTCTCAAAATTGCCATTCTTGTTACTTTTTGCCCCGTATCTTCAAAATGGCTACAGATGCCTTTGCCAAAAATTAATCAGCATTGATAGCAATCAAATAATTTTGGAACTCTTTTTTTTTGAACTTCCCGTAGGGTAAGTTATAGTAATCGCAAAAAATCGAAAATGAAAATTTTTATATATCTTTACGTTTCAGAGGTTTCTGAATATTTTGGCATACCTTAGAAAAAATAGATATATGTGTATGTGTGTTCGGATACAAATTTGCGACGACGATTTCGGGAACTCGGATGAAGCGATTTGAATAATTCAAAAAACATTCGATTCGTACTGATAAGGAGACGTGCTGATTAGTTTTTGGCGAAGGCAGGTCTAGTCGTTCCGAAGATATGGGGCAAAAAGAGCCAAAAACGGTAACTCAGTTTTTAAGAAAACGGAGCGTCCGATTTGAATAATTCAAAAACATTTTACTTGTATTAACAAGATGAAGAACTGATCAAATTTTCATGAAGGCAGGTCTAGCGGTTTCGGAGATCTAGTAAAAAAAGTAAAAAAATGCCATCTGGCGGTCAAAAATGATCAGTAGACATATGCACATCAAATTATCAGATATTTTATAGAGATTTTAACAATAAGTATAAATTTTGTTTGCATTCCTATGGGTTCTGTACCAATGCTTATCCGTTAGACGGCGGTGCGGTGCTTACGCGCTTCGATATTTGGTCTCTATGCAGTTAAAGCAGTACGATTGCTTTGAAAAAAATTCAGAATTTCCAAAATATTTCAAAATACACTTTTTTTCAGAAAGTCTTTTTTTTCAAATAAAAGTAAATTTTTCTCAAAAATTTATAGTTTCTCAAAAATGTAATTTTTCAGAGTAATTTTTTTTCAAAAATGTTAATCTTTTGAAAAAAAAAAAATTTGGTACGGGAAGTTTCAGCAATTTGCCTTAAGGCACGATGCCGTGCGTCCCATTAGCTTTTTTTATTTACATTTGCGAATTACAATCTGTCGTTCTTATACAACATTCAGTAATTTTGATGGTATATTAAATAAAAGAAAAAGGTCGAGAGGTCACCGATTGGTGATCCGATTCGATGTTGGATATGTCTAGCTTATAAATGTAGTCATGTTGTGAAAATATTTAGGAACTCGAAATCGTGGACGAAAAATTGTATCCAAACATACACACATTCATACTACATACACACACATTTTTCACAAAAAACAAATCGACGTAGTAATAATTTATTCGAAACGTAGAAAAATATAAAATTAAATATTGATATAAAATTATATTTAATATGATCTTAATGGTATTTCGTTTTCATTAAACTTTATATATCTACTAATAAGTCTACTTATTTTGCTTTTTGTATTGGTTAATTAACTACTATAGACTTTAATGTTTGAATTTTGTTATGTTTTTATAATATATGTATATAAATTTATTCCGGTAATAGTAGTTAGAGCGAGCTTTTATAAATATAAATTTAGAAATTTCATGTGAATAAATTTAATAAACTTCAATGTGAATGGCAAATTATTATTTACTTGATATTCTCGTCCTTTTAGCTGATCCAAAATAGCTTCTGTTTCTGGTCCGACGTCCAATTTGGATGGATCGTATACCAGGAATATTATATCTGCTCGGTCGATGAACCACTGACAAGCATCGTTGAATGGAAATAGTCTCGATACCTGCTTCCGAACTTCCAAAATTCCAGGAATCTCAACCATGTTTACCTGTAAATAAAAATAATTTGTTTTCAATAGCAATAATTTCATTCCTGTGGCGGGCATAGCTCACTCAGTTGCGTGTCCAATTCACGCGACAGGGATCTTCGGATCGAATCAATTAGAAGTAGTAAAATTTAAGATTAATAAGAATAAAAAGCGTAAAAAATCAATATCAAAATCGTTGTAGGCAAAACTATTAACAAATAATTATATACTATTTAACAAATTTTTTAATTTAGTTTTTGATATTGATTTTTTACTCTTATATTTTAATAATTTTACTAACTTCTAATTGTAGGTAGTAATCTGATGATTAATAAATATTAAATTATAATATGTTTGTCATACAAGTGTATATATATTGAATAGATGAGCTTAAAATTATTATAAATGCGCATAAAATTCGCCATAAACTTATTTTAAATCACTTTTAATCCTCATAGCTTATGAAAAAATGTATGTATTTGATTTCGGCGTGAATAAGTATAATTTACCATATACTTAGTCTTTTTATTACCATAATATTATGTTTAAAAATATTTTCTACTTATTACTATTATTAATTTAAAATTTATTGCATTTATTTCTATCTCAGTTTCTCATGCATAATATTTTTACTTAAAAATAAAATATATTACGGCGCTTCTGAGTGAACTTTACAATAAGTAGAGCTTGTGAAAAATATAAAATTACTTATATTGTTTGTTACTTAAATTGTTTCTGTATCTATTTAACTTCCCGTAGGGCAAGTTATAGTAATCGCAAAAAAATCGAAAATGAAAATTTTTATATATCTTGAACTGTAACTCAGTTTTTAAGAGAACGGAGCGTCCGATTTTAATAATTCAAAAAGCATTTTATGTACTTGAATTGACAAGATAAAGAACTGATCAAATTTTCATAAAGGCAGGTCTAGCGGTTTCGGAGATCTAATAAAAAGTAAAAAAAATGCCATTTGGCGGTCAAAAATGATCATTAGACATATGCACATCAAATTATCAGATATTTTATAGAGATTTTAAAAATAAGTATAAATTTTGTTTGCATTCCTATGGGTTCCGTACCAATGTTTATTCGTTAGACGGCGACGCGGCGCTTACGCGCTTTGACATTTTGTCTCTATGCAGTTAAAGCAGTACGATTGCTTTGAAAAAAGTTCAGAATTTCCAAAATATGTCAAAATAAAGAAAACATTTTCTTTTTCAAAAAAAATTTTTTTTTCAAAAAAAGTAATTTTTTGTCAAATTCCTAGTTTCTCAAAAATCTAATTTTTTCGAAGTAAAATTTTTTCAAAAATGATAATCGTTTTTAAAAAAATAATAATATTTGGTACGGGAAGTTCCAGCAATTTGCCTTAAGGCACGATGCCCTAATTTCCTTAAGACAGAATTCCACTTACAGCTAGTTATTATTTATTTTTAGAATAAATAACTTATATATACATGCAAAAGGGAGTTAGGGGCTATTTATGACAGCGGTAACTAGCATAAGACGTTTGCCACTAAAGTCATAAACGATATGATTTTTTCCCTGCATTGGCCATGCATAATATTTTTAAAGCTACTGCCCGCAGGCATACGCAATAAACAGAACTGTGCAGGTCCGTCATTTTGACATGTAACGTAAATTTTTTTATAAAATTTCGGTTTGCGTTATTATTAATATCTAACTTTAAATTTTATATATCTCAATTTGTTTCAAATTTATCAATCTTTGATAATGTGTTACAATTTTTGTGATTGATAAATTGTATAAATAATTATCTCGATTAATATAAAACATCACACTTGTGGTTTGTCGAAACAAATTTTTAGGGCTAGTTGCAACACACACAAATTATATACAGCTTCAAGTAAAGAAGATTGAATGGAATGTATAATAGGTATAGTTTGTAAGATGTAGACACGTGTAAATTGTGTTACAGGAGGCACTATAACTTTTGTTTGTGCTATGATATTAATTGTAGTTTACGTTGATTTATTATAAAAAATATATTACTGGAGACAATATATATTTTATTTATTTTAATTATAGTTTACGTTGTTGTATGAAAATAATTACCTAAACAATTATCACAGGCATTATTGTAATTTTTTTTCATTTCCAATTTAATACTTTTGCTCCATCATGTTCTGTATTAGAGGTTTTAAATTTTATGAGACTATTCTAAGAGAAATACAAAAAATGGGTTTAATATATTAGTAAATCTATTATGACAAATGTTCTTTTAGGTCTAAAATGGACAAGAAGACGGGCAAAATTTCTTGAGAAACCATCAATACACATAACAGTCTACGAGAATATTTTTTACGTACGATTTATTAATATTTTTTTGCTATTCTACTTCTATCAAAACACATAAGTTTTTTATGAAGTTACATCAATAAAACGCCATGTGGAAAAGGCAATAAAACACTTTTTCGGGCTACATCTATTGAAATTCGATATGTATGCTGTGAAATATTTCAAAATTGGAAATTTGAGATTTGTACATGAACACATTAGCAATGAGAATGAAGTGTGTCCTAGATTCATGTTATTTCTGTTGGCCCCGACCCGCTGCTCTGCCAAAGAATTTTGCAAGCGCGACATTTGCCTCGCGCATCGGATGCCGAGCGCTCTCGACTCGCGGGTAAAAATAATTGCAATTTGATTATCAATGGCGCTAATTGTTAACAGAAATACCATTCGGATAGATTAGTTTTCCTCAATTAAGAAGCCGTAATACCCCACCTGAGTGCGAATCAACTGAAAATCATATTCACGGCTAAAATTAAAATACAGTTGATAGAATATTTTGATTAAAATATAAATGAAGTAGGTTTAAAGTAAAATAGGACCCAAACTATTAATAGCTGTATAAAAAGTAATAAAACATTTCTGTTACATAAATTTAATTAAATAAATATTTTAGATTTAGTTGAATCACGGCAGCTTATTCTAAATAACTTAAGTAATAACTGCATAATACCATACTACATAAGAATGAAATATTTAAAATTACTTCAATTAGGTAGGCTCTTATATTAAAAAATATGTTTGTTATTTTTTGCTATTAAAATCTTTTGTTTTTAAATACAATCCGTCATACTAGGACATTCAGTAATTGTTTTGACCTTATTATATAAATAGATGGCAATACAGTTGTCCATTCCAGTTTGTTTGCTTTGTTGACATTTTTATGATTATGTGCACGAGAGGCTATTTTCATAGATATCATATTTGAGATCTATAACCTCAAGTGATAATTTGACATCAAAGCTGCCTGATGTCGGACTTGGCCGTGGCTGGTTTGGACTAGCCCACGTTTGAATCGATTTCGCCATAGTTGGTTCGTAAGTGTAAAGATTATTCTAAAGTATCGAAGTGGATACAATAGCGCCTATATTACTCAATAATAACGATGTAATGCAAACAAAACTTATAAACAACTAAGAACGCCGACGCTAATTATAAATCATTGACAAAATACTTGAACATAGGTAAAAATTGAATAATTTAATTAATTCGAGTGTTTTTATTTTAGTATTTGTACTTATTACAGTTTTATCTTCAAATTCGAAACTATTTAATTAATCATTAAGTGAAATTGTTTATTGAACTGCAAGATAATTAATTTAGAACTAAATTTACCATACCCGACTTTGAGCAGATTAAGATTAATAGCATATGTGCGCCAACTATTGTTTTATTGAAAAGTTAAATATAGGCTGCAAATACCATAGTTTATTCAATATTACATTATATAGCAGTGTTTGCAAAAATGCATAGATTCCTTGTATTTTAATACACGGGATATATAATCGTCATATTTAGATAAAATATAAAATAACCAATAAAATTGAATTAAAATAACAGTTTTGAATGAGAACCAACTTTAAATTAACACTAGCCTAGTAGTTAGTTGATAATCAATATAAACTATTTAATTTTAATTGAAGTCCTAAATGTCAATTCATATGTGTTTTTTTTATTACTAAAACATTATTTTTCAACAGCTTATCTTATCAACAGGACTTAAGTAATATTTTGCTTAATAAATTGGTGCATTTTGCAAATTGCAAATTGCAAATTGGTTGTATTTTAATAAGAAAGCAAACGCACACCATATAACGCTCATATAACAGTCTCCAAGAAACATAATATATTTCATATTTTTTATATTCAAAAGTTTTTTGATATATTAAATGATATTCTCATATAAATAATAAAAGTTTACATATAATTATTTTAAATAATTGTGGTACTTACTTTTTCCAGCAATTTGCTGGGAATTTTCAAACCACGTAATCTCTCCTCCAGGCCCTGTCCAAATTTTTGAAGTCCTGAGAATGTCCAGTCTGCTGCAAGCTGTGTTCCATCTAGAATTTCTGGCTCTTCACCGTGCATTAAAATGTTGAAATATGCCGGAGATGGTTCCGCTCCTATCATGGACAAGTTGCACCATACGGGATGAGTTAATTTATAAAAAATATATTTTTTAATTAAAAAGTAACAAAATATTGTTATATAAAACATTTGCGTTTCTCTTATATTTTAATACATAAATATATGCATGTTAATAAGGAAATAAGGAAAACTCAAAGATAATCTTGGTCCGCATTTCAAATGTTGATGTGATGTATAACAATATTATAAATTTTGATTAGCGATTATTTAATGAAAATATTAAGGTTTAACAACTATCACATACAAAATAATTACTTTTATTTACATTCTGAATTATTTTCATTTGTCTTATTTACATTAACTTTATTCGTATGTGAGAATACTCCTGACTTACCGTAGTACTGTATATAAAATATAATATTAAAAGAATAATTTTAAATTCCAAAAAATAGACTAGAATTTATTACAAAATCTAGATTTCCCCAAAATCCGCCCCGGTTCTTCAAATGTTGATTTTTAAAATATGAAATAATGCATTAAGCAATGAAATGATATTTACCTGATCTTAAAGAGTAAGGTGTGAATTCATTGTCTGTAAGATAGTTCAAAATGGAGCTCTTTCCTCCACTCCATGGTCCCATAAACAGAACCAGCGGTTTTGAAAATATCTCGGGGTCACCGAAATGACGGTTGCTTAAATCACGATATTTGTAAAGAGTCTCCAAAGGTTTTATCGCATTATCATACAACCGTTTCAATTCACGCAAAATGATATCAGCTGATTTGTCAAGCTGTCGGTCTTTATCGGCGTGTTCTTCGCCCAAATGTAACAGCTCGTCAATGTGGCTGCGATCACGTAGATTTTCAGGAATGTCGAAGCCCTAATAAATTAATATATAATTAAAACAAAAATATATGTATGATAACATCAAATATATGAAACATCTGTAACATATAACTTTTGTTAAATCTCTTAATTACGAATTACGTTTAAATATTTTGGGCTGAGTAAGTGAACAAGTTTGTGCATTTCGTTGGACTCATATTTCTTATATTTGCGAAAAGTGATTATTAAGGTAAGATCCATAATTATACGAAGCAACTTAAGTATCTCATTACTTATGCAATGCATACGAAATTATTTTCTCATAGAAATTAATTTTTTTTCTATGCTCTAGGTATTTGTCAATAAAGTCATATTAATTTGTAAGCATTTTGCTCGTACAAAACATTTCACAACCAGATGGTTTAAGATATAAATTACTCTCAAGTATTTTTACGTAACAAGATAAATTTCTTAAATAATTTTACTTATATAAATTAATTCAGAAAAATAATTTGAGCGCATGCATTAAAATGCAATATTAAAAAATATAGTATAACAGTATAACTCACCAATAATAAATCTTCTTCTGGATGCGATTCTTCACTTTCGCCAGCTTCTTCCTCGTTTGTTTCTTCATCTTTCGTTTCTGGCGTTTTGATACTCACTTCGTCACTGTCTTGTCGGTCATCTTCAGTATTTTCTTCAGATACTTTGTTTTCTTGTGCTCCTTCAGTTTCATGCGCCTTTGATTCTGATACTACTTCTTCCTCTACACTTTTCTCTTCAGAATTATCCTTTTCTTCTTCGGCCTCTTGCTCATGTTCTTCACTTTTTTCCTCTGCTGTTTCTGTCGATTCGTTCGGTTGATCTGAATGCTCAGTGGATTCCTGGTCCCCATCCATTTCATTTACAGCTGCATCATTAGTTTTGTCTTCCTCTTCCTCCACGCTATCTTCTTTGTTTTCTGCACTTTCAGCGCCAGTATCTATGGCATCTTCTTCGCTCTGTTCCTGAGTTTCGGCGGTCGTATCATCTTCGTCATTTTCACTTGCCTCTTGTTCAAGAGAATGTTCAGTAGTCTCGTCTTGTGTTTCATCTTCTTTAACTTCATTATCGTCATCCTGTACGCTTTCTTCATGCTCTTCACTTTCTTCGTTCATTTCATTTTCTTGCACGTCATTTTCTAGTGACTCAACTTCTTGTGTCTCTTCTTCTTGTGTCTCTCCTTCTTGTGTCTCTTCTTCTTGTGTCTCTTCTTCATGCGTGCCTTCTTCATTGCTTACTTCTGCAGCTTCAACTGATTCTTCAACTGTTTCAACGCCGATTTCAATAGTTTCTGCACTTTCTGCAGCTTCATCATGTTCTTCCGCAGACTTCTCCGCCGACTGATCTAAGTGTTCACCATCTTCACTGGCTTTGTGCTCCTCCTCTTCACCATTATCATTATGACCTTCTTTGCTTTCATCATCAACTTCTTGTGTTTGTTCATGCCCTTCTCTAGTATCGTCTTCATCGTTTTCCACGCTGATTTTATCACTAGCTTCTTCTTCCGATTCATTATGTCCTTCTTCGACGTCTTCCTCATTGGTTTCGATGTCGCTTCGATTTTGTTCGGCTGCCTCCGTGGATATATCGTCACCATCTTGTGCAGAGTCGTGTTCTATCGACTCCAGAACAAGATTTTCACTACTTGTATCATCCACATCGCTTGCGGGTGAATCTATACGGAAAGACAACCATCAATTCTGTAAATTATTAGCTAACGACACACACACACATTTATTTATATTATACATATATTAGGGTGGGTCGATTTAAAGGTCACTTAAGCACATATGATTTTCGAATTCTAGAAATCAAAATAAGATACTTTGCTGAAGAAACCATACCACTAAAATGACGTCCGTATTACTAAAATGAATCCTTATGTTCCGTGCATTGACCGAAAGATAAGGGTAAAATGTTGAATAACGTTTCAGGGAGGGGCCCAGGAGGTAACTGGGCCTTTCAAAGTTAGTGGAGATTGGGTCAAAATGGAATTTTTCGTATTTTAACCCTTATTTTTTGGTCAATGCACAGGACATAAGGATTCATTCTAGAGGTATGGTTTCTTCAGCAAAGTATCTTATTTTGATCCCTTGTATCCGAAAATCATATGTGCCTAAGCGACTTTTTCACCCATACAAATCAACAAGTTATTTTTAAAATTTTCACTCATAATCTATAAATCTTATTTATAATATTTTAAATGATTATACCCGTTTGTACCTTCCGTCGTGTCTCCGGTTTCAAGTTGTTTTAGCGCCTTTTCGACGTACGGCCTGCATTGTGATTCCAGTGGTACATCATCATCTGCTATTACACCTGAAACATAAAAACAATAATAATGACTTATATATATATATATATATATATATATATATATATATATAAACTGCTAAATATATCACCGGACAGGTTTTTGCATATTTTGATTGAAACCAAGTGGTATGGGTTAACCGCCCCGAAGATTTTTTTTTATTTCTTCAGTAAATTTTTTTATAATGCATTATTTATAATGCATATATAAAAACCACATATAACAGAGTATTTTCACTCTCTTACCTGAAACCCATAATTCGTAAGAATCATTATACAAATTACCATTTTATTATAAAAGTTATTATTTTTCATCTCGATTTCTGTCAGTGAACATGATGAAGGTTATGAAAAATCACAAATTTACATACAAAAATTAATTTCATCAAAAGTTGTCCAACTCTAACACTTATTTTTTAATGGATAAATTTTCTTTATATTTTTTTAAATGAGACTACCACTATCAAACATACACTTACCAATTTCATTAATCATTTATAATCTTATCAATAACTGTCCAATTATCGCCATTTTGTGAACGTTTTTCACTGAATTTCGATTCATATTTTTCAGTTAATAGAAAAGCATACTTTTTTATTATGAGTTTTATTTTTTGAAGACCTTTCCTATATTTTCTGACTAGGCACACATTTAACTATATAACAAAAGCGGGTGAAAAAGTCAACTTTAATTTACTATACATAAATATAATTTGAAAGTACACGTTGTTTTATTGTTATATGCATTTTTTATTCTTACAATTAGATTTAACAGATTTTTTCTGTAACCTCTGTAAAAGCTTACATGCGGTTAAATAGAAATAAATGCAAATAACAATAAACAAGGCCCCAAAAAACACAAGAAAACACCTTAAAATAAACTTTTAAAGACAAGTTTGAATTGATTACTGCGACGCAACTACGACAATGACGCTTAACATCTGACACGATTATTCTTGTTTTATACAGTCACGGAAACGTAATTAAAACTAGCGAATTTTTAAACATGATATTAGTACCATTTTGCCCGTATTTCCCATATAACTTAAGAATTGATTATCTTATGTCTTCAGACTTCATATTCAATTATGCATTAAGTTTTTTTTTTCAAGATAAATATGTATAAGATATCTTTTTATATTCCTGTAAGTCTCATATAAATGTCATTTCTTAGCATAATGATACGCCATTCAATAAAATTACGCCTTTTATCAAATCACTCAAACAAATATTATACTAAAATAGTTTTGTCTATTATGCCTTCTCTGCATATAAATGCATGTTAAATAATTGTCCCTACCTATATGTCACTATTCTCATAAAATTAGAATTGATATAAAATGTGCATTTTCTGGCATTTATTTTTTACTCATAAATTTTTGAGTTTTGACTACATTAAACAAAACTTTTTTCAATAATAAATCAGATTTTGTTTAATTTTGTTAACATTTACCAACATCTTTAAAATAACCTCAAGTAAAATAAAATAAAATATTATGTTATTTACTTTAATAAACTTCACAAAATAAATTATATTTTTAAATTAAAAATGTTTTAAAATGTAAGATAGCTTATTCAAGTTTCTCTTGCCATCACCATCGATTTGTTATTTTTGTTGCATAGGAATATAGTCCAGGACATATATTCTCAATTTCATATAGTTTATGACAAAAGTTTGATATGCAACACATTTCAATGCTACATTATTATAAATTATGATTTGCATAAATGAAGTGAAAGGTAGACTCAAGTTCCCTAAACCACTTGAAATATTTTTTAAAGCGAAAGGTTTTTATACTAAAAAGAGGTACTAAGAATCTTATCTTTAAACAGATCGCAAACACCATTTGATAGAAATTAATTATATAAAATTGTTATTGATAAAGTAGTGTAAAATATATGTAAGATTTTTCAAAATCTTCAACATTGTAATCTGAAAAAAGTAGTTTCTTAATTCTTATTTCTCCAAAACGTTAATTCTGCGTATCATATTTCCTATATAAATTAACCATGTAAAACACATTTACAATTTATACAGTTTGTTGCAGTCTATAAGAATATCAATAACCGACGAATCACTATCACTTATTCAATTACAAATTCGATCAAATAATGTTTATTTTCTATTATATGCCGAAGCCAATCTTCAATCATTCTAGTTTTAAATTAATTTTTATCAATTAGTATTTTGTTAAACACTTTTTGTGCACTTGTAAGATGCAATATGACAATGTGTTATAACTTCCCTTTCTGTAAACAAATATTAAATAAATCAAATCAATTCATAAATTAAAATTTGAAATTTTCATTCTCCAAAAGTAATACAGTGCTTTAAACAGAAATAAATTACATGCAGATTATAGATCAATATTTATATTATTACTTTTTTTAAATGTCTACATTTAATGTTTGTTAATTTTAAAATGTTTTTTAAAATATATAATGAAATATTCAAAAATTAAGTTTTTCAATCAATATCATTTATTTCGATAAAGCATAATTTTATATTCAATTTTGTGTCAAGGTTAATACTTCATAGATAATTTTTATAGAATCAGGAAAAATGTAATTCCAAATTTTAGGTGCCATCAATATTTTACAAATGAAAGTAACTGGCAATATTATCCAACCAACAAAAAGAAGAAGAAGTTCGACAAATTAAATGAAAAGTGGGAAGACAATAGCGAATGTGCCGATTCTTCTTCAATAATCGAGTTTGACATACATCAACAAACACCCCGACTATAAATACCAAGCAATATAAGACATCCATAGATAATTTAACTTTATATTTTACAAATGAATTATTTGACAAGTATTTAACTTTATATTTTACAAAAGAATTATATAATAGAAAAAAAAACATCATGGCAGCAAAAAAATGAACAAATATACTGGCTTATCAGTGGCATATTCTAAATGCGAAGGAAAGAAAAAGGGATTGTATTGTCTGTTTTGACAGAAAAGAACTAAGAGGAAGGCGGCAAACAACATTTTATTGTAAAACATGTCAAAATCAACCAGCTATGCATTTTGAAAATTGTTTTGAACGTCACCATTCTTTATAAAATGATCAGAAATAAACTAATATTATATATGTATGTCCTTCAATGACCTGTCCAAATTGCATAACATTCACAATGAAATCAAGTTTACAGCCGGTAAAGTAGATTGTTTTGAAATCGGTGCTGTCCCGTAAGAGTTAAAATCTTTTATTTGTCCATATAGGTTTATTTAGAAAATGATTTTGATGAAAAGATTATTAAATTTTACAAAATATTTTTACCTACGCCGGCAAAGAAAATACTTTTATAACTTACATAATCTGTTAAAAGTACAAATATACGCACACAATTGAAAAATGCGAGTATTTTAAACGTTCTATTTTCTTAAACTGCAAATAGCAAAAAATATGACAGCCAATTTACAATAGATTCTTTTCTTGGCACTGTTACAATAATTGCATATGTCTAGTATTAATTCATTAACTTTCGGTAGAGTAAAGAAAAGGTATTAAAATCGCAAAAAAATATTTTTTTATACATACCACTATCAGTGACACTAAAATAAATATATAGGTATGTAAATATACGCATGCGAAATTTACATTATGTAAAATATATTAATTTATATTATTTCAAAATTGAAAACTTTTAAATTTTATCGAAGCAATGAAAGATTTGATACTTTTAGTGATATCAAAACCAAATTTCTGCACCTATGATTTTGTTCTAATATTAGAGTAAAAAAGTATTAGGCTATTTTTATTATGGCCAATTCAAAGTTTTATAATTTGCTATACATTTTAATTTTTATAATACAAATGTTAAAAATTTATATTAAAGATGCTTCATAAATTATTAATTCAGTTTTGGATCACCTGCATGATATTTTTATCAAAACAATAAATTGAAATAAAATTCATAATAATAAAGACTTAAAATTGATTAACAAATATTCGATGAGTTAAAGCCGCATAGAAAAAACATTAAATACTGAAATGTACTAGGCGTCTCCACCGCACACCGAGTAGAATAACTTTAGATAATCGTGCGTTACATTTAAATAAATTAATATGTTTATATTCAGCGTAAAATTAAATAAAATTTTCTACTATCAATAAAATACAAATAAAGTACGAATCATCGACATAAAGATAATAGTTTGTTAGGCATTTAGTGAAGTTAAGTTTAATTGAAAAATTAAAATTTATTTTAATAACATTCATAAATAAAATGAACAAGTCGTGTCTTAAAATGACATACTAAAAGAATCTAGATATTATATTTAAATTGTTGTCCTTTTAAACCGATTCCATAAAAGAAAAGCTAATAGAGATAAAATTATGCTTTAAAAAAATAAAATAAGATATAAAGTAAGTTGTATATCAATTCTGAATGTAGTTATGTTATCGCAATGCATTTTATACAATATTTAAACCATTTCTAATTGTAAAGCATATATTTACATAAATAAAATTGTAAGACAAATACAAAAAGTTGTAAAAATATATAAATATATACTTCATATAAATAATTATTGATCTTCTTTATTAAATTTTTTATTACTCTAATTTAATACGTCTTTGTATTTTCATAAAATCAAATACTGTAATATTAATAATAGAAATACTTAATATTGTAAAGGGTAGTGCGGGGCACAAAATTATAATTTGACTTTGAGCAATTATATTGTAAAATCTAAAACAATGTTCAATAAGATTCCCATCATTGTAGAAATGTTTTTTGATGTTTTTCAAAAATCTGTTTTTTTTACCCCATAATTGGAGTAAAATGTAACGGCCAGAGGACAAACAGATCAAATATATCAATCTTCAGTTTTAAAGGGATTTCACAAAATAGCTACATTACTCAATCAATGCAAAATATAAACTCAACTAATAAATATAAATTTCATTAGTATATTTTTTATAGAGATAACAATGTATATAACATTGATCTCATATTTCGTCAGACATATGTTGGAATAACTATTTATTGATAATATCTCTTGTAAAATTGCTTAATTTACTTTATTTACTTTTAAATTTAATTTAAATTTTTAATACATTTTTTTATTGTTTACACCTTTGTCAGGGTGAAGTTTCAGTCGGTATTTTTTACCCCACCCACGTGTAAGCTTGGTTATATAAAAACCTCTATTGAATCTAACTTAATATTACTTTAATTTAAAATTAATTTTCAATTTATTAGAAATTGTAAAATAATGGAAGTTTTATTTTCATAAAAAGGAAACAAAAATGATAGATAAATTTTATTAAAATATAAGCCGATTAACAATTTAGGTTCAATTTATAAGTTATTTATTTTTTGCACCTAGATAAGAATGTTAATTTTTTTAAAATAATATAACGGTTTCACATGAAAGGATACAAACTTTTGTTTTGAGTATAAAATTCCAAGTCCCAAATAGTGCTAAAGTTTTGATTTGAAATCTTTTTGAAAGATAATTAATTATTTCTTTAGAAAAACATGAATGTAAGTGTGCATGTAATGTAAAAATAGGCATATGACAGTTAGAAATAATCATTTCTAACATAATATTTGTAATTTATTCAATATTGTTATAATATAAAAATATAAAGGATGAACTGCATCGATATTGGGAGTCGAAACTCTTATATAGTTCACTTCTCGAGTAAATTTTATATATATATAGATATAAAAATTCCAAATTATTCATATAATTATATATTCCCATATATTTTAATGGCATAAAATTTGCTCATAACATTGCGCTTGTTTTAAAGTTTAATTCAATAATTCAATAGTATTTGTTTATAGCACAAAAAGAAAGTTCCAGCCATTTGCCATATTTTCAGCCACGCGACATGTCAAGGCGCTCATGTAAGCGGTTACTTGAATGCGTGTCCCTTAACTTCTCGCAAGAATTACACCTGTTTTCGATTTATTAACATTCAGCGATAGCTGGCCATAGCATGCATCAGGTATCAAATTCGTTTTTAAGTCAATCCGCGTTGAATTTAAAATCGTTCAGTTGTATAACATTGCTTCACAATGGCGAGTAGCACATGCGTCATTACGCCAACATTTAGCCTTAGCCCCAGAAATATCAATGTGATCTTCTGCCTGACGTTCTATTTTCGATATTACGAAGTCAAATAAAAATACACTACAGGGCTAAACTCGACCGCCTTCTGCATAAATAATAAATACCGCCTTTAAACTGTTTCGGCTTTTAGAAGTATGCAGTGGAAGTTGCAAAAAAATTTATTTGAAATTAAATAGTATGTTTTGATCATAATATATATTTCAGTCAATCCCATGATTAAAACGAATTAAAAAAACATTGTAAACCATTGACAATAACAGAAAAACATATTGAAAATAAAAATCTACGAAATGTACGGATATCAGATAACTATATAAGTATAAAAATAATCTCGCTTTTTATTAAAATTATTAATTAATTATTAATTTTTTATCAAAAATGCTTATAAATCTTTCTAAAAGTTTTAAGACAACGTTTTTCAATCAACTTTTATACATTTTATATTTATATTTAATATACCAATAAACTTAGAATGATTATGTTTTTCAATAAGGGATATCACTGATTGTGAAAAATAACTATTGTAATTTTACAAAATAATTTTTAAAAAGATCTTACAAAAACGTTACTAAATATCGATTTTTTATTATAGATGAGTCAATAATAATATATCAGACTATTCTTATAATATTACGAATTGTAGCACGTATTTAAACTTTTATTTTAATATTTTTTATAGTAATATATAAACTTGACAAACTATGAAAAAAATTATAAAATCAAGAATGGCGATTTAAAAAAGTTCTAATTGTAAAACTTTATAAATAAATACATATATACTACAAATGGCTGAGTTATTGTTTTGAAATTAAAAAAGGTAAATTATTTAATATAATATAGTATGTATATATATATATATATATATATATATATATATATATATATATAAATGCATTGAAAATTATGAATTGATTTTATCAAATTAAATTTTCGCAAATACTGATATTATGTTTTATATTAGATAAGTGACGTTTGATATCATTTGACATCAAGACATTAATAATGATTTATTATTATTAAATCTATATTATGTTTGTGATAAGGTAGTATACCTTATTTACACTTTTCATAAAATAGTAAAGCATATATGAAATAAAAATAGCATTAATATCCACGTGCTAAGATTTTGCGGACGCAGAAGACATTGAAATCTAAAATAAAAATGCGTCGGCGTATGCCGTAAGATTGTTATGCAAGTCTTGAAATTAATAAGAACTTCGTATGTTAAATGAAATATATATATATATATATATATATATATATATTATAATTACATATTAATTATCCTCACCGTTTAAGGAACTTGCTAATAATGCAGTTAAAATTATGCACACTGATAATCCACGGAAAACAAGTCTGCTATGTTGCGCCATTATGAATTAGAATTTATTTTAGTGCAAATCAATTTTATATTAAAACTTCACAAAATAAATCACAAAAAATTAATTTAGGCACACATACTCTTCAGCACAATAATTTTCAGAATAAAAATTAACATAAGCGCTCACAGCAATTTGTTCTTTTCGATAATAACAAGTTGTCGCAGGAATTCAAATATTTTCACTATTCAAGCAGTCAAGAACATCAAATTTATTTTAATCGTTCACATTTTTTAATTGCCGGAGACCGTGGGCGCTTTTTAAAAATTAAAATGCCCAATCTTGCCTGAGTAGAGATGCAGCTTAAACTAATATATATGTTCCTAACAGCTGATAATAAGTTTAGGCTACTATGTTTAGGTAGGAGGGGCGAATTGAGCTACAAGCAAACGCGAATTCGGTCTTACTGCCGGACGCGAGTCACCAAACTTTTCGTCAAATACTTTTTCGCAAATGCTGATTAAGTTCACAATTGATTATTTTCTCGTATTATCTAAAGAAAAACTTCATCCACATATAATGTATCGAATTAAAATAATTACGAATTAATTATATTCGTTACATAAGTTTCTGATAATTTTTGAAAAAAGTAGAAATTAGAGCATTTTTATTAAATGTTTCAGCATAAAGTTTGCTATTGAAATATAATTAACATTTCACTCTATTATTAATAATAAATATTGATCTTTAATGTAATAATGTGTTACAGAGAACGATTAAGAACGATCTTAATACAATGTAATGTAATATAGCAATATCATTATAATCAGAATCTATTCTAATCGATGACTAGTGGTGCATTGCACTGTCCCCTAAGGCAAATTGCTGGAACTTACCGTACCGTAATTAAACATATATATATATATATATATATATATATATATTGTATGATTCTGAATTTGATGTTGACATTTGTATTAACAAAGTCTACGAACAACACACTATCCAATTGTAATTTTTTAAATCAGTATTTTGTGAAAATATTGTGTAATTACAAGTTTAATATTTATAATACATAGTGTAGTGCATATCCTGATACCATGGATTATTAAAATTTTTCAATTTAACACTAAGATCAACTAATTTCCACTGAATGAAGGATTTTTTTAATGTTTCCAACGCCTTTCATGTATTTACATAAAAATAAAATTAATTCATTCTGTATTGTTAACCCTCCGTCGGTCGGCGTGGTCTCGCCAGACTTTTTTCGACTTCAATTAAAAAAAAAATACTTCTAGTAATCCTATCGACTTGAAATTTCTTGACTTTTCCTAAAATTTCATTAGCTGTCGATCAATGAAAAAATCAGGACGAAAAAATGTACAGAAGGATAATTATAAAGACATTAACTTTTTTATACTTCGAACGGTCGGAAAGGTCTGTCTAGACAACCCATACATTTAGTATGAAATATACGCTTTTTGATATATGTAAACCAGTATTTTGTATTTTTTCATGGTATTTTCTATTCAAACTGCGTTGTATATATTCTTTGCTATGTGTTGTAACATGAATGTTTGTATTTTCATGACGAGAGTTCCTTGAAAACCTACCAAACTTAGCAACAATTATCAACAATTTTTCTGCGTTCGAAATTTTTTTTTTTGGCAAACCTGTAGTGAAATTATATTTTCACTTTGAGTTTTACAGCTCATTTCAAAGGCGACGCACCTCATTTCGTTTTCATTTGTATTTCACATTCATTTCAAAGGCGCCGAAAAAGAATAAATATTGTTTTCCATTGATATAAAACAGAAAAATTAACAAAGCAAGCAACGATTTTTTGATTTTTTTTTATATAATATAATATGTAATATTTTCATTATAAGCAAGCTCAACACATGCAAAAGACGGTAAGAAAAAGAAAAAATCTAAACTATAAATATTTACTACTAATAATCGTTAATATATAAGACACCAAAAACTCATTTATCCCATATAAATGCATGTAAAATGAATGGTGGTCCAGCCAGACCTTTCCGACCGTTCGAAGGTGAAAAAATATCCGACCGACGGAGGGTTAAATATGGTCACAAAAAATAAGATATATTTTACATGTATTTAAGACATTTGAAAAAATATTACTAATTTACGAAATAAGTTATCATCAGAATGGTACTGCTTCCTTTTTTGCCCTTTTTTGCTTCTGGATTTTTAAAGAAACTGCCTGATAGTTGATTTTTTTATTTTCTTCTTCAAGATCTATCGCAAATGTTAGGTAAGATCATCATTGTACAAATTTCAGATCTTCTTAGCATCAGTCATGTTTGAAAAGTAAACATTTACGAATTCGATTTGAACAAAAAGTCATTTATGGATTCTATGCAATAAAAATCTGCTGATAGGTCTTTCCCTCCTCGGTTTTTGAAAATCTACTTTTAAAAATTTTCTCAAGACCTTTGTGGTGTTAATAACGAGATAATTCTAATGTGAATTTTTCTTCAACAAGTATATTTTCACAGCGGGACAAAAACTTTCGAGGTCCATTCTTTGAACCAACTTGAGCAACATATTTTTTATATATTTTATCTACTTTTTGACTACAAATGACAACGGTTAAGTACATTGAATTACGTTTATTGAAACCAAGTGGTAGTAAGGGTTGGCAACTCTAAAAACCTTTTTTTTTATTTTTTGGGTCAATTTTTATTTTTTTTATAATTAGTATATAAAAGACACATAACCCTAAATTTTTACCCTCTTACCACAAACCCGTATTTTATAATAATTACTATAGTAATTACACCATTTTTCATCTCGATTTCTGTCATGAAACGTTTTTGGCTGAAATTCGACTGAGATTTTTTGAGCTTATAAAAAAGTTCAATTTTACATAAAAAAATTAATTCCATCAGGGGTTTGGATAACTCTAACAATTATTGTTTGGTGTATTGGATTCATTTTCTTATTTTTTTTTAAATGTAAGTTTAAAAAATGCATGCAATCCTCAGTTTTCACCTTCCATCATTTTTAACCTGATCGATATCTGGTCAATTATCGTCATGTTTTATGGAGGGGGGGGGGGGGTAACTAAATTTTGATTCATTTTTTTTAAAGTTAATGAAAAAGCTTATTTTTTTCAAAAAACATTTTATTTTTTTATGGATTGATCACCTCTAAAATACATTTGAATTTTGTGATCAACCCGTATGCACTATTTTCTCTATGTTTTACTAGGCATATATTTAATTATACTTATATAATAAAAATATAAGTATAATATATAATAAAAATATAAGTATAATATATAATAAAAATATAAGTATAATATATAATATAAAATTTTTCTATAATGATGTACTTCATCTAAACGGTTATTCGGAATTCAATAAATCTTTTCAGAGTTTGTCGAGGGAAATTTTCAACATGTGGGGAATTATAAAACTATAGTAATATTGAAGGAATAAATAGAAAAAAATGCAAAAAACAACATATCATTGTTTAACATCGAAAATATTTCGGCACATGAGAACTGTCATCTGCCAAAAATATCGATTCACTTGAAATTTGAATTTAGTTAGTTATTTATTTAGAAATTTTAATTTAGAGCACAGATAATATTAGTATATAATATCCATATTCATGATTATAATTAAGAAAAAATTAATAACTACAATTTTATTGCCGAAAACTAGTTGAAATGTGCTAGAAATTAAAATAATATAAGATACAATATAGGTTTGGCAGTAGAAAATATATAATTTAGTTTAATAAATAACACAATACGTCCAAAATTGCAAATTCATTATTTTCTCAAACATATGCAAGATGTATTTTACTAAATTAAATTATTTTTTACTACAATTTATTTTACTTTACTAAATTATTAACTTCCCGTAGGGTAAGTTATTGTAATGGGCCGAAAATCGGAATTGAAAATTTTTACATTTCTCGACGTTTTGAAGGTTTCTGAACGTTTTGGCATACCTCAGAAAAAATGGATGTGTGTGTGTGTGTGTGTATGTGTGTGTGTGTGTATGTATGTATGGATACAAATTTCCAGTCACGTTTTCGGGCGCACGGATCAACCGATTTGAATGGTTCAAAAAACATTCGATACCTATCGATCGGGAAAAGAGCTGATTAGTTTTTGGCAAAGGCAGGTCCAGCCGTTTCGGGGATACGGAGCAAAGAGTGCAGAAAATAGAAATCGACTTTTTGAGAGAACGGAGTATCCGATTTGAATGATCTAAAAAACATTCAATTAGTAATGATTGGGAGAAGTGTTTATTAGTTTTTGGCAAAGGTAGGTCCAGCCATTTCGAAGATACGGAGCTAAATATGTAAAAAATGGCAGTTTTTGAGAGAACTAAGCGTCCGATTTGAATGATTCAAAGAACATTCTGCTTGTCTTAACAAAATAATTGATTTTGGAAAAAAAAAATTTGTTTCGTTTTTTTTTTTTTTTTAATTTTTTGTATATCGAAAATAATTCAGATTTTATTTTTAATTCTGACTATAGTTCTAATATACTTTAAACAAATAATTTCAACTTTGCAATTCAGTTTATAAAATACTCATAAATATTAGACAATGTCACAATATTTATAATAATTTATTTGAAAACATTCAGTGTTCCTCGAACATTTCGTTACGGTACGGGAAGTTCCAGCAATTTGCCTGAAGGCACGATGCCACCCACCCCACTAGTTTAAATACAAAAGAATATTTATTAAAAAAATGATTTAGAATTTTGTTTTATGTGTTAAAAATTCATTTGTTTGGCATTGGATATGAAATATTTAGCAAGTTCATGATTTTAGATTGAACAGTGTCATTTGAACTAGATTTTACAAATTAATTCACCTAAGATTTTAACTAAAGTAATAATGTTTATTAAATTATTAGTAAGCAAAATGTAATTTGAGAATTGTAATTGTGAAAAAGCAACTAATATAGGGTACACGGTTATAAAAATTATAGATTATTATACATTATTGAAACAATGATATTGGTTGTAATTAACAAAGGTGATATTGTTCTTTTACCGTAGATACTATAAGTATATTTATTCTTTCTGAATTTCTTATACTGATAAATAAACTGCAGGTTCCAATACGTATATAGCTTATGCTAAGACGATAAATAGAAAGACATTAAATAGAATATTAAAAAGTATAGGTAATATAGTATAAGTAATTAATATAGAATATTAAAAAATTTGGAACTTAAATTGTAGACGCAGGTACAGGACAACGTCTGTCGGATCATCTAGTATATTTTTTGGTTGTAAAATGGTTAAAAATGAAATTATTTTTTTTAGTTGCTAAGGTATTCTAAAACGTAACATTTTATCATAGCAGATGGTTGCAATTATGTTTGAAAGTATTTCTATTTTTGAATAGCAAAAGTGTCTTTACCGTGTTTTCCGAAAATATGGGGAGAAGTGGACCACCCAAATTTTTATATGAAAAAATGCTGATAATTGCTTCAAATTCTTACCCTGAGGATTTTCAAATACGCTGATTACGTATCCGTTTACAAAATTTACAAAATTCAAAATCGTTGACACGAAATAAAGGGTAGAAATTAACTTCAGTTAAAAGAAAACATTGACTTCAGTAAAAATGTTATTTATCATTTTACCCTATATTTATATTTACTTTGAAATGATATATATAGGGTAGAGCGGGGTTATGATGCATTTAATAGGGCTCTACAATCAATCACAAAAGATACGAGCGCTATTTTCTATCTTAACTATTATATATTTAGATGTAACAGAATCGCATTCTTGTTTACATTTTTATCTATAATCTATATGCATAACACAGCAACGCGTGATCGGGTACAGGCAGTGGTGGTGTCGAGCCGGAACGCGCCGGAACGTCGTTCCGGCAAATCATTTTTGGGCCCGAACGCGTTTCGGCAAAATAAAAATTTAACTAGTGGGGTGTACGGCATCGTGCTTTAAAATAAATTGCTGGAACTTCCCGTACCGTAACGAAATGTTCGAAGGATATTAAATGTTTTCAAATAGATTATTATAAATATTGTAACATTGTCTAATATTTATAAGAATTATATAAACTGAATTTCAAAGTTGAAATTATTTATTTAAAGTATACTAGAACTATAGTCAGAATCAAAAATAAAATCTTAATTATTTTCGAAATACAAAAAAATTAAAAAAAAAGATTTAAAAAAATGAGACAAAAATGAATTATTTTGTTAAAACAAGCAGAAATTCTTTGAATCATTTAAATCGGACGCTTAGTTCTCTCAAAAACTGCCATTTTTTGTACATTTAGCTCTGTATCTTTGAAATGGCTGGGCCTGCCTTTGCCAGAAACTAATAACCACATCTCCCAATCATCACTATAGTTAATGAAATTGAATGTTTCTTAGATCATTCAAATCGGATGCTCCGTTCCCTCAAAAACTCGATTTCTATTTTCTGCACTCTTTGCTCTTTATCTCCGTAACTACTGGACCTGCCTTTGCCAAAAACTAATCAGCACATCTCCCCGTCAACAGGAATCGAATGTTTTTTGAACTATTCAAATCGGTTAATCCGGGCGAAAAAATGCGGACACACGAAACACACACACACATCCATTTTTTCTGAGGTATGCCAAAATGCTCAGAAACCTTCAAAACGTCGAGAAATGCAAAAATTTTCAATTTCGATTTTTAGACGATTACTATAACTTACCCTACGGGAAGTTAAAAAATCGCTACATACAGAAAATGATTTAATAAGTGATTTTTATAAATTATAATTCAACTAATTTTTATTAAATGTTCCTATTATTGTAATAAACATACAAATATGTGCACAAAATGGACTTTGTAATAATTTTAGCGTTCCGGCGAAAAAAATATTAGCACAACACCACTGGGTACAGGTAGTTTTTTTTTGTCATTTCAATTCTTTTGAAAATTTTGAACAAATTCGATTTCTTTGAAAATTTTGAATATTTCAAAATTTATTGTAATTTTTCAACAAATTGATTTTTATAAAAATTTAAATTTTTTGGTAATGTTTGAAAAATTCGAATTTAAAAAAAATTAAAATTCTTAGTACAGAACCGAAAAAAAATTACACAAATTTAAATAGAATATTGAATAATGAATTAGTATATAATTTTTACTTTTTTGAAATTACACTGAAGATGAGGCATACCATGTTCTCGAAACGTCTGTAATTAAGTGTGTGTAAAATGTCTGTAATAAAGTGTGTAAAAATCTGTGTGTTTGTTATTCATATTTAACATTTAATATTCGTTCGACTCATATCACAAAATTCTATATATATATATATATATATATATATATATATATATATATATGCACTACCCTTAATTTTGGAGAACATTATTAAATCTATTAGTTCGAGCATTCTTGATTGGCATTTTAAGTAGGTATTTTGTATGCTTAAGTTTGTTCCAGCAAGAATTACATAAATATATATTTATTATATACAAAGTTTCAAACATACCAGATTATTCTTTATGAAATTTCATATAACCCTTCATTAGTAGTAATCAGTAATATTCCTCCCCTTGTCAAAATAACTGCAAAAAATATATAACTAGTAGAAAATATATTCCATATTTTGTAATAAAATACATAATTTTGTTATTAATAAAATAATAAATATGAATTATGTCCTTGCAAGGACATTCAAATTGTATTGAACATAAAAGTCAATACATACATAAAGGTAACTCATAACCATGGTTATATACTTTATATTCAATTATACTTTTATTATATTTTTATTATGCTTTTATTTTTATTTTATTATACTTTTATATCCAATACAACTTGAATAAAAGAACTTTAAGCAATGAAAAACACTGATAATGATTTTTAAAAAAATTCAATGATTTTATTTCTAAATAAATTTTCTTTTAATAACTACATTTTAGAAAAACTTAGTAGGTAATGATGTAGTGAAGTTGATTAATGAACAAAATACAAAACCAATCATTCCAAAAATGTACTTAAATATAAATTTGTCTTACAATAAAGATCTTCTAACGTAAATTCTGAAATATGAATTTCAGGTTCCAGTCTGAGCGTAGAAAACAAAAACAACACTCTATCATCTACAGTTGGAAGTTCAAGTATTTCAAATTTGAGCTCTAAAGCGTCGAAAGCCCTTTTAACTCTTTCTTCGTGACTTAACAAATCATTATTAAGTATATTCCGAGCTTCTACACATTTATCATTGTCATAATTTTGAAATGGACTATCATACTCTGAAAAACGGTTGGTCAATATGATCTTTTCTTGCTTTTGCTCTAAGACTTTATTCACATCACTCTGAGAAAGAGATACCACTTCTTTGCCATCTATTTCATCATCATCTATTGCTCGTAATAGCTCAAGCATGTTGGAAGCAGACAATTGTTTAGCAGCTTTCTTTGTTGTAGCTGTGGCTTTTTGCTTGAGTGAAGCAATTCTACACATCATAGTAAACTGTCTTGCATGAGGAGGGCCTATATCCTGAATTAATTCATATTCTGGAATTGGTAGTTTTCGCTCTTCACAGAGCTCTGCCAGATGTCTGATGGCATCAGAAACAACAAATCGTGGCACAGGTTCCAAATCTGAAATATTAGGGGAGGTGTCATCACACAAATTCAACTGAGAAAGTTTTTCTAATGCTTTTCTTGCAGAATCATGTTTAGCTTCCTTTTTCGATCGTCCAGTACCAACAGATGACACCGTCATATCCTTGATAAACACATTGACCTGATACTTAAATACTGGCTTCATTAAGCTAGATCCATCGTGAATCAAATTGAACAATGGGAGAGTCCCGTTGGCAACACAAAGTTCTTGCAGAATCGTTATAGGTGTTTTTTCGTTCATTGCAAAAAAAAATGATAAGCATAAATAATTAAATTACAATAGCAAACAGAAGTGCCACTTTGGTATGATATGATGAAAAAGATGTACAATTATAAAGGTTAAATGTTTTTTTTATATTCGATATACTATATTCTTATATCGCGTAGGTTAAATCCGTTTCAAAAGTAACTTAAAATAACAACAAATCCACAGTACATCAAAATTGAAAAATGATTTAACAAGTGCTCTCAAATTACTAACCATAGATAAATAAGTATAACCAACAAATGCGCGCAACTTTACTGCCAACACTAGCTATTAACGAAGTTGTCTCGAACTTCATGTCTATTTAGATTCTACTTCTATCTGTCAAGTTTATTGTGTTTTTATTTGCATTTACCACACAACTGAAATAGTGATGTGTTCAAACTTATGAATAAATAAGCCATATTCTAATAGTGTCTAATATTGGTAAGTAAAATTACATTACAATTAATATTGTTTTTTTTTTAATCTTAAATATTCCAATATTGTAGTTATAGACAAGTTATAGTTCATATAAAGGACCAGATTTTATTTAATAACCAACCTATCAAACTGAACTGTATCGAGTGTTATAAACGAATGATTTTATCAAAAACCAAATTGATGTGTTGTGGTGCCCTTAATTTTGATATTCAGCTACTTCATCAATGCTTATTTCTTTTATCCTTGATATATATATATATATATATATATATATATATATAATATGAGATTTAATCTTCAGGACAATACATCAATTAAAAACTTGTAGAAACTTATAACATTTTTATTGATTAAAAATATTATACGTAAGCACCCGCTCATCCGAGGCTCATCCAAGAATCTTGGATGGAGAATGGAACTCTTGGATGAGCCTCGTATGAGCGGGTGCTTACGTATAATATTTTATTTTATTTATTAATTATTTTTTATTCCGTATAAAAAAGAAATTACTGACATTTGGTGCTTGTTTCCAATTTACAAGTTGTTGTTAATATGTGTAAGTGCTAATCTAAGAATTTCAAAACCACTGATGACATAGAATTTTACGTTGAAACATGGAAAAAAAAGATATATATATATATATATATATATATATATATATATATATATAAATCAGCTACTGTTTTTCTGTAAGAAAGAAATTAAACATATATTGTTCTAATTTTTATTATTCTAATTATTCAGGTTAGAAAAAGAATTGCTTGTGCGCCATATTATATGAGATATCTTATTATTGTTATTTCGTTATTCACTCGAATGGTACAGGTGGTGCCAAATCAACATAGTGAATAGAATAGGATAAATGTAATTACTGTTAAGCAGTAGTTCTCAGTATGAAAAACCCGGTTTTCGCAAACGTGTATGTAGATTACTGGGACGATCATGAGGTAATCTGTTTTTTGGCCTTTTTTTATTCAAACTTTTGTTGTCTAATCTACATGAAATATTTTATACAATTTCAGGTATCAGATTGCATCCATTTCTTGACTAAAGTTTTTCCTTTTATGAGCAATAAATTGAATAATAATTGGAAATGCCCCATATATTCTTCAAGATTGAATATAGTATTTTTATCAAAATTCACAGATGTATGTTAGAATTATAAACAAAATTATTCATTCTTATGTGATTTATGCTGAATATTGTTTCAGGTAAACAGAGAACTACTATTGCCATTAAATTTTAATAAAAAAACAGATATATCTCGAGGAAATATTAAATTCACTGCCACTGCAATCAATTCAAAACAATTTACGGGGCATGTTATTTATCATTTTGAATGTAAGTACTATTATTGGTGTGTATAATTATTAAGAACAACTGTGATATTTTTGAAAATTTATTTTTATTACTTAGGTATGAGAAAACGTTATATGTATTTTGGCAATACCTGCCTTTCTCCTGTTCTATTGAGAGATCTAGAAATTTTATTCAAAGATAATATAATAGACATTCTGTATCTAGATTCAACATATCTTCAAGTATCTCAATATTTTTCTTTGGAAAGTGCAACTAGAGAAATCATTAAATTATTGGGGTGTAGGTAGGTTACATCTCATTTGCATGAGTAAAATATATATCTAGTGCATGCTGCTGGCCAAAAAATATTTGTTATTTTACAACAAGCAGTATGCACAATTTTCATGAAAGCTGTAAGCTGAATAATTAAATAAATAGTGGTGAAACTTCTGGCTTATAATATTTTGGTTCCAGTTTTATCATTTGCTTAGTTTCTTCTTTCATCAGACTTGTAGATAACAATAAAGTTGATATTTTCTTTACTACTTCACACATTTGATTTTCAATTTATGGATTCTGTTAAAATAAGTGATTCTTATGTTGTGACATAATATATCTACTATTCAATTCATTTAACTTGAGAAGTTAATTAATTAAGTCTTTTTCAGTAACAATAATATAATAATGGCTTTGCGACCTTTAGAGATGGAAGACTTATTGGTAAATATTGCATCGAAAGGCTATTCTGTACATATTGGACCAAGGCGTCTACAATTATTAGAACTGCAAGGTGCAAATGTTTTTTTCACCAGCTCAAAAGATGTTAATTTGAGAATTGTTGATAAAGAACATTGTGAAGACATTGATAGATGTTACAGGTATTTGCCCTAAAAATGTAGTTGGTTGCATTACTTATTGTGCATTATTCAACATTGTTTTATCATTCTTGTGAAAATCAGAAATAAATTTTGTTTGAATGCTAGATATTATGCTATCAATCTGCTGAAGAACCTCTTTATACAAAAGTTACTTAGTAATTATTATTTCAGACGCAGTATAGAAAAGAAGATTCTAACAATTATTCCATCAGCACTTTATACAATAAATGAGGCAGAAGAATTGAAAAAGGTTGGAGTCCAAATTATATGTTATGCTGATGCCATTACTTCAACAGATTTTCGCAACTTATTGAAGGTAATCAAGATTAAGCAATTAGTCGGCATTGATGAAAAATGTGACCAAATCTTTCTCAATAATTTTTTGAAATGCACTTTATCAAGCATCAGTTCAAACAACTTATTTATGCCCTCAATGAATGCTGGCACAGATTTTGAAGATAGAGAGGAAAAAGATCATTCTTTGGCACCAAATGATGTTCAATATAATAGTGAAAATTTTAATAATAGTATATCTTCACCATCTGAAATGTTTATTCCACAAGTGCCATTAAAAAAGACATTATTTTCAAAGAACAAAAATATTGATCACTTATATACCAATACACAAGATGCATTTATACCTTTGGCTTCTAGTTCACAAAGACTTTCAGATTCAATCCGTACCGGTGATGTGCATGTGGATGGTAGTGAATTATTAGCACCATCTGCACCATCATCAATATCAAAGCCATTGGGGAATATAGTTACATCACAAAATAACATGAACAGATTTGTAAAGGATTATGTGAATGATGTGCGCAACCATAAAAATAAATTGAATAGGTTACATCTGGTGAATCTGTTTGCCGGAAATTCAATGAATCGTACAGCTAGCATATCAAAAAGTAAGCATCTGGTAGAAAAATGTGTCCAAACAGATGCAATGATTGAAGATACGCATTTTACTAAAGATGAACTAAATGGTGATACAAATAAATTCAATAACCAAGAGAGTCTTTTGAATTATCATAAGAAAAACGCAGAATACAGTAAATTAGATGGGTCTCTTATAGATATAGTTATTTCAAGCACAGAGTCTGAATCCAGTAGCGAAGAAAGTGTAATACAAAATATATCAACAGAACTTATTATGGTACATGAGGCATCCCATGTAACAACTTCTTCAAATAAATTACAAGAAAGTATGACGATATCCAAAGATGTTTCTCATACAAATAAAGATATATTGGAAACAGAAAATGCAATGATTGAAAATGAACATTCTACTAAAGCTAAACTAAATGGCAAAAAAAATAAATTAAATAATCAAAACCCATTAAAATGTCACAAGCAAAATGCAGACGACAGTAAATTAGATGGGTCTCTTATGGACATAGTTATATCATGTTCAGAGCCTGAATCTAGTAGTGACGAAAGCATAATACCAAATATATCAACAGAACTTATTATGGTACATGAAACGTTTCATGCTAAAACTTCTTCAAATAAATTACAAGATAATATGTCAATAGTCAAAGATATTTCGGAAATAGAAAATGTTCAAGATACGTTTTCTGACTCAGATATCAGTTCTCAAAGTGAACAGTCTTATTTTTCAAGAATTTCAGAAATTAATGAAGAATTGTTCACTATAAATCAATTAGATGAACTTGAACTTATGTCAGAAGCTGGTACAAAAAACGCACCCAGAATTAGCTCGCAAAATATATCAGTGTGTAATTCTGATGATCATGATAGTTTTGCTAGTATGGAGGATGATATAGATTTATCAGACATATCTCTTATTTATTCCTGACATATTAATTAAACCTTCAGAAATATGAACCTTTTTTATTTTCATATATTTTGTTTGCATTACTTCAGGTATCTTTAAATACATGTGCGAGCAAAAATGTGATAGAGTACAAATAAGTTAAAATATTATAACATGTATTAATTTGTAAATTTTGTTAATATATTTTCTTATAAAGTCTGGATATTGTATTAATATATAAGTGGAATTTCTGTGTATATATTTATTTCCTAAATTTTACTTCATATATAAATGAAATAAATTTGTGAACATAAAAATTACAAAAAATGACTGCAAATATGAAGCAAATTAAGAAAATATGGTAGATTATATGTATATATGAATGGAAGTAACATCAACAAACTATTTTGAAACATTTTATTTATATTTTCAATCAGACAAAACTGAATTAAAGTTATTCTTCTCATATTGTTCTTTTGTTAAATATTTGTTCTTCCACATATCTATTTGGGTAATATTGGGTAAAGTGATTGCCAAGAATCCTTCAGCGCAAGGTGCACGTAAAAATAAAGATGGATCTTGTAAAATGTTTTCATTAACCTCTATTAATTTGCCTTTAATATAACTTTTTACTTTATATACATATTCATCTTCACAAATAATCTTGCAAATTATAGAGTTCTCTTGTAAATATTGTCCGCCTTTCTTACCTTTGCCAGATATTTTATTTTTTGTTCGATCTACATTGCCAATCACATAATCGATTTTCAGAATTTTTCTCTTAAATACAGGATGTGATGGTGCTAAAGTAATGATACATATACGATTTGTGTGAAACAGCAAAAGATGATCTTCTTTTCCTCCTTTGTCATCCACAATATATCTTTCAGTATAATATCTTTCAGTAACATTCGGGAACGGATTTTGCAATTCTATAGAATCTTCTATTTTTGGAATATCTAATGTACTTTCATCATGGCTCTCCATGATTTGACTATCTCGATGTATAACCCAACAATATTATTGTGAAGTTGTATTACGCTTGTATCTTAAGTCAGAAGACTCTTTATTTTTCTTGCGTTTTGCTTCGCGATCTCTTCGAAGGCACTTCACTAATTCTCTATCAATATCGTTACAAGCTCCCAAAAATTTCATAAACGCGTTCTAAGATTTATACATTCACTTTATATTATGTAAAACAATATAACGCTAAAAAAATTACTGTTTCAAATTACATACCTCTTGCCGGCAATTTTGTAATCGCTTAATAATCGCATTGCATTCATCTGAATGTAAGTGTGCGGATAAATCGGAATGCATTCTATATTAGAGTCAATAATTTTTTTTTATTACTAAAAGTCCTAAGATACACATTACGTAATAAATATTGTTATACTGAGTGTCATATAACCCTAGCCTAGAACGCTTTGAACGTAGTTAGGTTATAATTTGTCAAACACAAGATTATTGCTACCAAATGCTACCATAGATAAGGAAAGAGATTTGAAGAGTCTGTACATAGATAAACAGATAAACAAGTTTACTTATCGAAACGTCCGAATCATAGATAAAAGAAGAGTATATAGATCGCTCTCTCGGGCCATATTTCGTTGCCACATTCCTGTGTTAGTTGAAGCCCCGCGCTACAGATGGCACTAGTCGCCTGAACGGGTGCGTATAAAAAATACTATAGAAATGAACCAAAATTATATGGACCGTTTTAATTCAAATTTAAAAAAAGAAAAATTGAAAAAAAAAAAAATTTTGAAGCATTTATTTTTCACAAAAACATTCTACATTTATCTACATAGTTCTCTTTATAAACAATGCACACATAGCATAAAAATGTACATAAATATACACATTATCCACAATGTATATATATATATATATATATATATATATAGATATATAACATTATAAATGATTATAATAGATGGTAGTAAGCTGTAAAAACTATGTGCGAAAAGCATAAAAATGTACTTAAATGTACACGCTATCCACAATGTATATATAATATATCAAAGATATATAGATAGATATATAATACATATATTATATATATATATATATATATATACATATATATATAGATATATATATATATATGTGTGTGTAATATCATTTTAGCATATCAGCCTTTCAAGCTGAGCACAAAAAGAATAGAAATGTACATGAATGTATATTTAATTATATATATATACATATACATATATAACCACAATTCTTTGATTGATATTGATTCAGATCAATATATAACCAATATATATATATATATATATATATATATTAGATATAAATATATATATATATTTACATATATATTATTTTGATTAACATTAAGTTACATAATATCTATGATGTACAGTCTCTATTTGGGAATCTTTTCTGCGCTATTGTTAATGTGCATTCAAATGTTTGTTCAAAATGTCATTATTATCATTGTCTTAAAGAAAAACAACAATCATTGATATATTAAACAGTACTTAATAGTTTTCTTATAGCATCTACAATAATACATTTTAGAGTAAAGCTATTGACATCTCTTTCAGAATAGTCAAATGCAATAAGCAAGTGCCACTTAAGGGTGTTTTACCTTTGCTTTTTAGATTTTATCATTAATCATGATTATACTTTGCCTGTCATTGACAGTCCTGAAATCTATACAATGTGATCCCTTTATCATCATTAAACAACACAGATAATAATATTTCTTGTAATATCAAAATGAAATTATTTAATACTTAAAAAACTTTTCCTGTGACATAGCCAAACCTAATTAACCTTTGCACTAGCTAGAATTCACCATTAATGAGAA